GAGGCTAGATCCCTGCAGTTACATCACCAACTTGCAGCAGCTGGGAGCAGGAGCTTTTGGATTTTTTTGTCCCACCTGCACGTGGCCAGCCTGTTGCTGTTTGCCAGCCCTCAAACCAGAGCTGGGCAGAGTATTCTTGCATGGTGCACACTGCAAAAAAGCATGTTACAGCAAGCTGTGTGGTTTACCCTAGCTTAGCTCTTCAGCCTCTGAAGAGACATCCATCTCCTACAGCAAATTATTCATGGCATCTAAGATCCTCTGTTCTCAGCACTGAACCAGTGCACAAATGAGATGTGCTGCCTTAGGGAGCTCTGTATGGGGATGTGAAATAGTACAGCCCAAGGGTGATAAGAGACAGAAGTGAGTGTTCAGGTGTGATGCCACAGTGCCAGCTGCAATATATGGGACATAGTTGCAGTTGTGCTGGAGAGAGATGCTTGTGCTGGAACACCCTGCCTTTACCAGAGAGGCTGCAGAAGGAAGATCGCTCTCCACAGAGACTTCTGAATTTGGGCTGTACGTTGATCTGAATCCAATGCTTGTTGATTAGTGCTGCAAAATAACTCCAACAGCACTGTAGAGTTGGGGAGGAGCGGAGGAGCAGAGAAGGGATAGATGGGGGCATTATTTGATTTCACTGTGGGTCCTTAATGAAGAGGAGGACTTTGTGTCTGTCCTTTTGGACTGAGGAGAACTGTCCAGTTTCGCACCAGCAAGGCACACAGTTCTTGGGGAATCTGCTCTAACATTTATTGTTTTGACATGGTTTGAAGAGATTATCTCTTGTTCTCACATCTAGGAGCTGTAGAGATCTAGGTGTGTCCTGCTGGGTGGTTCCTTCCCCTCCTCAGTGCTGGGTATTTTTGCGTAATCTTTCTCCTGGGGTAGGGCATGGGATAGCAATCTGAGTGGCTGGACCCAGGATGAGAAGCAGGAGTGCCTCCACATGCCAGGCCCCTCAGACTTCAGACCTGTTCCCTGGCAGGAGCGGATATTCATGGAGAATGTGGGAGCTGTGAAGGAGCTATGCAAACTGACAGACAACCTGGAGACCCGCATCGATGAGCTGGAAAGGTGGAGTCATAAACTGGCCAAACTCAAGCGGCTGGATAGCATGAAGTCAACTGTGAGCTCTGGGGCATTCAGGTACAGACATGCTGAGGGCAAGGGAGCAAAAGGGATGTTTCCCTGAAAGCTCAGGCAGCCTTAAATGCCATCTCATTTTGGGAAAGTGAAGCTGAGAAGGAATTGGGGGGAAATCTTCCCCCTGGGTACTGTCAGCTCAGCCTGGGAACAGTGGAGTATTGACAGTTGCCGTTTGGCCTGTGGTAGATTCAGGGTTCTGAAACTGATGAGACAGGTCTGCCAAGCACTTCCCAACATCTTGCTCTCAGACGAGCCCAAAGAAACCTAGTATGAGATTACCTCCTCATTCCTGGAGAGCTAGTGAGCGACTTTCTCAAGGTGAAGAGTTTCTCACGCTTCCAAAGTCATCCTGCTGACCCTAGTCTGCTTGTGTGGGTTTTGGGGCAGAGTTCAGGCTCTTTGGGCAATGCACCAGCACTGTATCTGGCCCCTGAAGCAGGCTGAATGACAATGAGTTTGTAACTGTTGTGTCAGAGACTCCTCCTCTACATGCACATTTTTTGTCTGAGACTTGCTCTGAGTGCAGTGCCCTGCACAGCTCAGCATAATTCCTCCTTTCTCCTTGCAGCCAAACAGGAAGCCAGTTCAGCCGTGCAGGAAGTGTACCCCACAAAAAAAGGCCACACAAAGTAGCCAGCAAGGTAAGGAACCGTTCCTAAAGAACAGTGCTGTGCAGGGGGGAGATTGTCTGTACAGAAATAGTTGTCCGCATTATTCTCATGTCTTCTCCTATGCATGTTACAGAGGGGAGACTCTTTTAGCTCCCATTTTCCTGCTCTCTCCTACCTTTGGCAGCATTTTAGTCCATGCCTTTCAAAAACATTATCTGGCTTCTGCTCTGAGGAGTTCAGGTCTTGCAGGGAAGCAGGAAGAGAGCTTTGTATGGGCTGGGTGAGATGGGCTGTATTCTGAAGTAGAGGGCTAGAGTGGTAAGGCACCCTGAGCAGTTCTTCTGGTGTTTCTCTTGCAGTCACCATCAGTTGTTCCGGAACAAGCCTGCATCAGCCAGCGCTTCCTGCAAGGCACTATCATTGCCCTGGTCATCATCATGGCATTCAGGTAAGACTGCATATCCAGTCTACCTCTTCTCTACACTGACTAGAAGGGACTTTCCTCAGACTTCCCAGCACAGCGGGGACTAGACTTGGGGGATCCTCCCAGCCCCAACTGCGGTGGGCTGGTCAGGGCCACCCTCTTCCCAGCTGTGTAGCATGCTGGGGATCCCTGCTGCCAGCTGGAGGAATGATTTTCCCCTCTCACCACATGGGTGTTGTCGCTGCCCTTGCTGGAATAAGGAGGACCAGCTCTCCTCGGTGTCAGGAGACTGACATCTGCTTGCCCAGGCCTCATATACCATACCTGGCTACATCTGCAGGCCTCTGTCTGGCACTAGCCAGACTCTTGTCTCCCTCAACATAAACTTCCTCATCTGACACACTAGCATTTACCCAATCCCTAGCCCTTGCAGTGCCACCCCAGTACCCATTCAAGTCTGGGGGGAGGAGGCACGTGGATCACTTGTTGTCTTAGTTCAGCAGCTCTCTCCTCTCTGTCATTTGTCCTGCTGAGCTGAGAGATGCGCTGAACAAACAGTCTGTCTCCCTGCAACTCATTGACGGCCTGGACCAGGGTGACCAAGCTGGCCATGCTGGAAGTGCTGGATTTCCTTCAGTTCCCAGAAATGGTGTCACTTCTCACTGCAATCTCAAGGGTTCCCAGCATCAGTCTGTGGGGTGGCAGGGAAATATGTAGGTGCCCTGTGAGACATCTTTCCCTGTCACCACTGCCTCCCCCCCCCCACTACACTTCTCCTCAGAACAAGCAGGCCCGGCTTTCACTGCTATCTATGCAGTGGACAGTGAGAGGCGGTGGACCTACAGCTACTTTCATGGGCTGTAAATCCCTTGGAAGCAGATCAGCATCATGACATGTCGCAGCCTATAATTCTGTCCATCTTTCCAGTGTGGTGTCCATGTCCACTCTCTACGTGCTGAGCTTGCGCAATGAGGAGGACCTTGTGGATATTGATGGGTAGGTAGCTCTGGGTTCTGTGGGAAAGATGAGGTGACTGGGGAAACTCTGAGATACAAATAGCTGCAGGGTGATTGACCACAGTTCCAGTAATACAAGCTGTAAAGACAACTAAATGCATCCTTACGTCCAAGTCTGATGTCAGGAAAGTTATATGGAGTTAAAAGTGAGGAAGGAAGAAGGAAAAGAAAATATCCCATTGTTTGGCTGCTCACATATCTACTCGTGGCCTGTCTAAATGTTATTTGGATGCCTCTTCAGCTGGACTGAAACAGCATAGCCGCACTGATTGCTGTGGGACTGAAGCAATCTGTGCTAGGTGAGGGTTTTCCTTCTACAAACTGTGTCCTTAGTGTGGGGAGAGCAGCCAGGGAATGGCCCCAGCCCAGCAAGCTTGCACACGGACAGCCTGTGCTGGGCATTTAGTGTCAGCACATTTTTACTCCTTTTGAAGCTCGCATTACTAGATAATGAGTTTCTTTTTCTCTCTCTCCCTGTCCTATTTCTCTCCTTCCTGTTCTGGTTACTTCTCTCATCTAACCCAATTTCTTTCCACTATCTCTTTAATTTTTCCCTTTCTTGTCTTTTCATTTCCATTATCTTTTCTGTTCTCTTTAATTCTCTTCTGTTCTCTTCCTCTACCAACCTTCCCTTCTCCCTTCACCACCCTGTAGCTCTTTTGCTGTGCCCACTGCCTGTCTCTTGGCACTCTTTCGGCACAGGGGTCCTGGGATCCCGGTCGCTCTATGCCCACGGTATGTTACTCTTTCATTATCCTATTATTTAATTGCTGTATCCCTTTTCTCAATCCTTCTTCTTTTTCTTCCATCGGCACCATAGAAAGCAAAGAATCCTGAGCAAAATGTGAAGGCAAAGAGAGTGATATGAATATCCTTCAGCAAGTAGGATTCCAACAGGAAGGATGATGGACCTCATCGGGCAATATGGAAGGGACATTAGGATTAGGCGACTGAAGAACCACTTCATCAAAGGCTGAATAAATATTTTACATA